ACGTGAGGGTTAATGTTTCGTAAAAAGTACAAGTTCCTGTATAAGGTAATGTTTTTTTCTTTTTGCGAAAGACTCTAAAAGTAATGAAAGGACATTTTTTATTTACATTTATTTCGATAACAAACAAGTGTTTTTGACATATAAATAAATTTGTTTGCACAAAACTTGTGTGTATTACGATCCCCCCCCCTAAAAACTGTTTTTTTAGTAGTACATTTTAGGAAAAAATAATACCTTTACCATTCACAGACATAATATAATCTTTTAAAAATTATATATTTTCTGGATAGTACATATGCTAGTTATTCAATATCAAACAGTTCAATGACAAAATACATATTTTTTAATACAACAAATGGTTTATATGCAAAAGTTGACCAAATACACACACAAATTGCAGTTGGTAAAAGAAATATATTATTTACATTGTATAACTTAAAATAAATAACTCTTTCATATTGGAAACAGTATACAGTAAAATAAACTTAAATAACAACAAAAAATGTAATTTACCAATTATTAGTGTTAATACAATTATAACAAATATGTAATAACGGGGTGTCAAAAACACCCCACGCGAGTACATACGTTAGTAAAACCCGCGCGAGTAGTTAAAGGTTAAAGTCCCTTTAGCATAGAAGTAAGAAGTATAGCAATTAATTAATCTGTAAGTATATAACAAAAGTTTGACAGGCGACGGTAGGTATATAGATACAGTACAATGATACGGCAACGGCTGCTGACAGTATTACAGCGGAGCGGGCAGCGCAGGAACTTGTGGCGCTGACTGTACTACACATTCCACTTGGAGATATGAGACTCCACTCAACTTTTGGAGTTATGAGACTCTGGTTTAATTTTTACTTGGACTTATGAAACTTTGGAGTTATGATCACTTGGACTTATGAAACTTTGGAGTTATGATCACATGCGCTTATATTTTTCTTGGAGTAATGAAATTATCCCTTTTCGGGTACTTGTAGTTGTGAAACTTTGGATTAAATATAATTTGGAGTTATGATCTCTTGGACTTATGAAACTTTGGAGTTATGATCACTTGGAGTTGTGAAACCTTGGAGCTATGAGATGATCCCGAATGCAGAAGGGTTGCTCAGCTATTAACTTTGCCTTATAATCTTTATTTATTTCAATTGTGTTGTAAGAAGTATTTTTTAAACAGTAAAACTTTCTCCAATTTATAGACTACCTATTATGATTCATTGTTGTGTTTTATTAAGGTCCCTACCCTTATCTAAAAAATATTTTATAAACCAAAATGTTTAATGCTGTTCGCATTAAACATTTTAAACACATAGTTTAGTGTGGTAGTGTGCAAGGTTAGTGTAGTCTTAAGATTGTTTTCAGCCTTGGAAGAACTAAACACTACCAAGAACGTCCCCTAAGGACTTCTGGGGGGAATTTTATTCCACAGGGCCCACTAAATCTTTATTTAACATCAAGCTTCCACTGCCAACGCTCTGTTGTAATATTTTTGTTCACTTAGTTCTTCCAACCTAGGGGCAACCAATTTGTAAAGAACCAGTCAGTCGAGAGGCATTTGAGAGTATTTACCAGTAAAAATATATTTGAATATTTATATTTAAATATGTTGTTAGAAATCCGTTTTCTTCTTTAAACTTTTACTTAGTACTGAATCACTTGATCAATACAAATAAAATCTTAAATGAACTTATTCCTTATTACATTATGACTATTTTGGTAACTAAGTGCCTTCTTGTGTCAAGTTTTGCTAATGACATAGAGTTCAGTATGGATTTTAGAATTTTAGTACTGTTTATAAATACTTGGATATATCATTTTTGATATTACAGAAATTACATCAATGGACAAAACTATTGTCAAACTTATGTTTCCGATCTTTGGGAAGAATATTTTAATTTTTCTTGCAATAAAAAATCATGCTTGGGTTACTTTTTAACAGAAATGTTGCATTAACTTTTGAAACATAATTTTTACAGGAATGGGGGTTGCACTATTTTATGTAGAATTATAAGGACCTTTACTGACAAATTTCAATCAAAATTGTTTGGCTTTTTTTTTCAAACAAACAAACAAAACCAAACTTGCTGACAATCAAAATGAAATTTTTAATATAGAAGGAAAAGTAATTTAAAACAATACAAAATAACATCAAGCTATAATAATGGAGTAATTGGAACTGTTTTAAATTTACAATTCAGAATGTGTATTGTCATCGCAGTTCATTTGACAAAAATGAAATTGAAGCAAGACAGAAATATCCATCAATAGCTTCAAGGTCCGCTTTTGCACCGACAATCGTCTGCTCCTTAACACATCGGTCTGCTATGTCGCAACAATGCAACCACTGCGACAGTTTGTGGTTGGGTGATAACTACCCTAACCATGTGGTCTTTCATTTGATATATCACAAGGGGTACCTTGCTATTAAAAAAAAAGTTCCGGGAGGGGGGGGGGAAATATCTCGCAAATTTATGAACCGATTTTCAATTTTTTATCATCAAACATTTTCTTTTTTCATGCTCTTTCATTTGATATGTCACAAGGGGTACCTTGGTATATAAAAAAAATAAGTTGGTGGCAGGGGGGGGATGTGAATGTAACGTTGAATTCAAAACAATTGGGCCCCCTACGTCAATAGATGATTCTGGCAAACTGCATATTTCTATCTATTGCGGTTTTTACATAAATAAAGATGCAAGTTTAAAAAAAAAACCCCTGTATATCTATGAATTTATACAACTTATATATATAAGTTTTTAGGCATATGCCTAACTACCACCACGTGAGCACGCAACATGCAGCTGTCCGTGTGAAAAGCATGAATTTTCTAAATTTAAGCCGACCATAGTCAGAGATTGCTCTAGTCCTTTATAATAATGGTAATTGCAAAAGCAAGACACAAAGGAAATTGTAGTTGCTTAAATTCAGAGGGTAATTCGAATGAAATCATCAGTATTCTTGGGATTAAGACTATTTTTCTCCTTTAAACTTACAACTGATAATAATGACTAAAGGTATGGACGCACCAGATTTGCCATCAAGCATCGACATTCTTTTTGACGTATATTTCTGGTTATGCACAAAATGTGTACCAGTACATTTATGGGAGTTAAATTTTTGTGTTTTCGAGTTCGTTTGGCTTTTCTACCCACTCGATTTTGATAATTTTGGTCTTCAAATAAAGCTATGCAAGCACATATTTGTCATCAAGCATCATCATTAATTTATCTAATGTACTACTCAACGAAAAAATATAAATTTTATTTTTTACTTCAATTAAAAATGTATTCCAGCAGTAATTACATTTCCCTATATGTTTTGGTCTAAAAACCTTAGTGAAATACGTAAATTTGAGCTATCCTTATATATAATACGTGAAGGCGATTTCTACGAAACACTACTCCGTTAATAATGGACGGATTTTTACAAACGACGTGTCAAAATAAAGTATTATTTTTGTAGACGCCCCCTTTCACCAATTCCTGTAATAAAAATCCTCGGGCTTTGCCCCAGAGGCCATCAAAGTTGGAGTTTCTCCCATAAGATTAACATGGGGGAATCTAAATATTTAATTGGAAACTTTGTCCCCACTAATTTGAGAGAATGGCTGGGCGTAGAAACTTGGTAGAAGTGTCCAAAGAATAAAGAAAGATCTTGGTCTGTAGATGAGTTATCAAAAATAAAACTAAGACTCTGTCCCATAAGCCTTTAAAGATCCCTCCACAGAGTTGTTTACATTTTGGCCATGTAAATAATACTTTTTAATAAAACAGCTGTTCATTTTTACTTTCTCTCCCTATACCATAGTATATGGAGAAAGTATTGTTTTCGTCAAAATTTTTGAGTTTTGAGTGGATATATTCGTTTTTGGTCCCCCTGGACCCAAAAAAGTGGTTTTCGAAGTGATGTCTGTGTGTCTGGATGTGTACAGAGCTAGGGACTACACCTGTGGTCCGATTTCGATGACATTTGGTATGTAGGTTCTAATCCATGGTATCTCCAGGCGTTTTATCATTTTTTTGAAATTTTCATTATTAATGGGAGATTTTCCGATTTTCCCATAAAAAAAACAGGAAAAATCGGATTTTCTCAAAAATGGCCCGAACGATTATGGAGAAAATTTAGTTTGTTGTAGCCCTTTAAATTCTGAAGAAAATGGTACAAATCCCATTTCTGTAAAAATTACGGTTCAAAAGTTATTGAAAATTATGTTATTTTCCCATAAAAGCTCCATAAAATAACGGAAGAAATAGATTTTCTAACAAATGGCCCTGCCGTTATCTTTTGTCAACAGGATTTCTATAAAAGTGTACGCAGACTTGGTGACCTGTATTTCAAAAGTTGAATATGTCATCAGTATTGGAAGTTAGCGTGTAATTCGGTATCTTACGCTTTCGCAGTATATAACGATTTTGATAAAAATTTAGTATATTATAGTCCTTTAAATTCTGAACGAAATTGTACAAATCCTATTTTCGTATATTTACTCTCACCGCTTACACATGATAATCGACACACATGTATTTGTTGACAAACTTATGGGAGAAAGTATGTGTCAGAATGCTGATACCGTTTATTAAATTGTATTTCAAACAAAACACATTTATTGGGATCTACTGAATTCTACCAAGTAAGTATTTGCAAGTTATTTTCTGATTTTAAAATTGATTTTCTTCTTTTATCATGTCATGCTTTGCAATATAACGTTTCATTACGAAATCAGAGGAAAATCCTTTTATCACATAAATTTTTAAATTATTTCTTATTGAACTATCTTATATATTGTACGGGTTGTGTGGGTGGCGTGAAATTGTAGACCCAAAGGTAATTTCATTCCAGAGGAGGAGTGATAAACTGTCAGTGGATAAAAATTGCATTTATGGGACAGTAGAGTGGTCCATAGCTAAGAAATTGCAAGGTAAAGTCATCAAGATATTGCATGAAGAGTAATACTACTTTCTGGCTCCCTGTATTACCATTTAAAGAAACTAACCAACGATTTATCGACGTTATTATCCTTGTGTGCCATGGTGGCACCTTAACGCGCTCCCATAAAAATATACTTTACAACCATAATCAGGTCTCATATCTCACCATTGCACTTTCTTATTTAAAACTCACAGTTCTAATTTTCCATAGAGAGGAAGGCCAGCTTGTTAAATTTAACTTTAATCTCTAAGGTGAACACCTGCTAGATAACTCTAAATTTAAACACAGAATTCTAACTGTAAATTTGTAAATTTTAAATCTCGGGTTTTGTGTCTACTGTAGTTCTTGTCCTGTGACACTGACCGCTACATGACATTATGACAAGATCGTTTTATTTGGCTAAATGAAGGCGTAAACAGTGAAACAAATTGTAAACAAAACATGACCTCTATAATCTACATTGCACCGTACAGAAATAAAACTAAAATTTGGGCTTAAGTTGTTCCATAAGTATGACAAATCTACTAAATATGTTTTGATCATAGATCAAACAGTCCCTTAGAAGATTTGTCATTCTTGTTGAAAAGCTGAAGCCAATTTTATTGCTATTCTATGCCGACTGTAGAGGTTGTGTTTTTTTACAATATGTTTCTTAATTGTTATTTCAGTTATTTAAAACCTAATTTAACCAAATAAAACTATCTAATCATAAAAAATAACTGGTCTCCTAGCTATATAACCAAACAGTAAAGCACAAATCTTAAAATTACCCTAATATAATAGAAACAAGATTTCATTTACACTAGCGATCAGTGTCGATGCACATGAACTAGACACGAAAAATAAGCTTCAAAATCAACAATGGGATGAGAAGTCTACTTATGTTGCATAGTCTACTGTTTTATCTATGAAAAGGTATTTTTACACCGGTATTACACAATATTACAAAATAAATATTATACAATAGTTATCATGCATAGCATAAATAAGCAACACGAGCAATATCAAACTTATGATAATATATTTCAGCTTACATAATTAAAGTAAAACAGCAGATACAAAAAATTATTCTATTATTCAACAAAAAACCATTTAATATATACATCTATTACATATGTCGTCCAGGAGTAAATAAAAATTGAAATACTTTTGGTTTTGCTACGTTGGCTGCACTTAACGCAACTTCTTATTGCCGAGTAGCGGCTGCTAGTCCATACGATAATTTGAGGACCATTGCACGATAATTTTTTTGTCTACTCAGGATCGATCAGCTGTCCCATCCGCTATGACGTAATTCCCGCGCGTTATAAGCTATGCCACGTTTTTAAAATTATAAGCTATAGAACAAACGAGATTTTATAAGCTGCAGCACATTTGAGCTATGCCATTATAAGTTATGTCACATTTTAAGAAAACCGTTATAAGCTATGCGACATTTCTACGATTATAAGCTATGGAACACTTTAAATTTTCCATTATAAGCTATGCCACATTTTCAAGATTATAAGCTATGCAACATATTCGCAATTATAAGCTATGACATTATAAGCTATGGCATCGTACCATCATAAGTCATGTAAGTCACAACAATAACAACCAAAAAACACAAACCAAAACTACAAACCTCATCCCCAATAACTTTTTTCAGTCAGCGCAACGTAAATTAATTGAATCTTGTCAATAATCAATTAATTTACTTAATTAAGTTATTTTTTGAAAGTTGTCGATCAGTTACCATCAAATGAGGGTTTGATGACGTTACACAAGTGGTTTCTAAGAAATAGCGAGGGGTAATGGGGTATTTTATTTTTTCCCAAATTCCGGTGAGATGAGACTGCCGAGACTAGTTCAGTCAGACCAAACGGAAGGATTTCATGCATCACAGCTAGCCTGCAAAAGAAAAAAAAATACAGAGCAGAGATGTCAGGATGCCGCAGATGACTTGCAAACAAAAACAAGACAAGACCAAGACAAGACATACTTTCTTAGGTTATGTTATCTTGGTTTATTTCTTATAACTTAACTGGGGTTTAGTGTAGTTATAATCCATTGAAATGGCAAATTATGGTGAAATCGTTGAGTTGAATTCAAGATCTTTTGTGACTGATGGTGAAGAATGGTCATTGGAGGAAAGGTAAAAATCATCAGCCTATTTGTAATTATTTTCTGTTAGGCCTAGCCTAAGTTAGCCTACCACCAACTTGTGTGACCTGGCAATAACTCAGTTCAGTAATAAGTAGTTAGCGCGCCTTATAAAATCTATTGCTGGCTGTTTTGCGGCAAAATACGGTCGCGTAAAGCACGGGTCACACTAGGCTGGCATCAGCGGTGAATTGAAAGAAGCCGCTACTGTCAGCTTAATGTGACCACAAAATTCGCAGCTGACACTGAGCTGACTCAGCCTGGATTGGTGAGCCGGTGATGCTGGTGCCAGCTGCTGATCACCAGCGGCTGGCGAACAGCCTAGTGTGACCCGTGCTTAAGCCTATCATATTACCAATAAGTTAATGTTACTAGATAGAGGACCACCACTTCATGATCGATATTTATTCATATTTATCGATATTTTCATTGGTTGTTTGTGCCAACAGATATGGAAGTGTACCCTATATATATCTAAAATCAATATTTTCAATTCGATAGTTTCAATCAATATTAGCATAGCCCAGTTAAGAAACTGTACCCGTAGGTTGGATTGAAATCTACTCTGTAGCCTAATTAAACTACCTATTTCTAAAGTGTTGATTATTAAATCAAGTTAAAGAACAACTTGAAACCCTCCGTTAACACTAATACCGAAACCCCACCTAGGCTGACGTTAACCGAAACCCCCGGTCTGTGAGACCCCATTTGAAAAAAAATGGAGCCCGCTTAGAAACACACAAACCGAAACCCTCAGTCTGTGAGACCCCGCTTTAAAATACACTAACGCTGGGCTTCTGAGACGGACATGTTATGATCAGACGACCTGTCAAGGTCACGGCACCCATGCAAAATGAACAAATGATACATCAATAGGTAGGGGAGGAAAAGGGGGGAAGGTATTGGGGAAAGGAATCTACCAAGTAAACAGTGTTGCCAACATGCGTTTTTGAAAATTCCCGTGGGCCTGTCAGACCGGGGTTTCGGTATTAGTGTTAAACGCCAAGCTAAAAGTGAGCAACCCCCTTACTAATTAGGCCTTCTGCATTTTTGCAATTTTTTATTTTAAAGAAAACTGATGAATTGTAACAATCCATTTTTCTAGGTACTCGATGCACTCAGAACATGAAGGTTCTCAAGACTTGGGACAAGCACATCAATATTTATTGGTAGCAAGTGGTAAAATATTGTGTGGTAAGTTGAGTTATTAGAGCGTAAGTTTTGATACTGCTTAGAGAATTTTTTAGGAAATTATGTCCATTAAGGTGACCAAGGGAACCATAGTAATTTATATATATCATTAGAATGGCAATTCATTTTTGGTGGTTGTCAAAGATGATGCCCGGATAGTTGTATTCAGATACTCTCTCAATACACACACATTCATACAGCCTCGCACTCCCGCACGTTTGCAAACGCAGATGCAGGTCGACCGGGTTGTGGTCAGCTCTCACAGACACTGGCATATATTTGGTTTTGGATATATTGACTGAGAGCCGACTCTGGCCGAACCTTGACAGTGTGAAGCCCACGCTCAGCCACACAGTACACTTGCTCCCAGCTGACACCTTCAAAAAGTAAAGCAGAATCATAGGTGTAAAGGAAAAGTTTTCCACCATCCAATGAGATCCTACCAAGATTGTTTATATAAACCTAGGAACAACAAAGGCCCAAGCAAACTTCCTTGGAAAACCCCAAAATCAATCAAACGAAGTACATTGGAGTGGCCCAACATTGACACAACTTGAAATTGTTTACTAAAATAACTTCTAAACCACTCCAGTGCAGCCCCACTGACACCAATTAAGCTTTAAAGCTTTATTTGTTCAATAAAATTCCCCAGTCAACTGTATTGAAAGCTGTGGCCAAATCTATAAAGAGGAAGACTAAAAGATGTTTCTTATTCCTCTCAACTGTGTCATGAATATTTTTAGTGAGTAGAAAAATGTCATCATCATTTAAATTTTTATCCTTCCTAAAGCAAAAATTGGTTTTTAAACAAAATGTAGTAACCATCAAATACTGTATAATCTGCTCCCTAACACACATGTCTAATAATTTAGACAACCCACTTGTTAATGTAATTGTTCTGAAACTCACGCATTGATTTTTCTGTCCACTCTTGTAGATTAGAATTAACTTACTTTCCCCAGTTTGAAAAAATCAGGGAAAACACCAGAGGTCAAACTCATGTTTATAATATGAAGTGGTGACTAATACGATAAGTACCTCATGACTTATTTAGTATATTTATGTTTTACTTGATTAATTTAGTTGGAATTCCATCTACACCTGGGGCAGAGCCTCCTTTCTTACTATTGACCATTACTAAATCTTTCTCTGAAATAGGCTGAAATTTACAGTGAATTGGTTGGACAAATTTTGAATCCAGTATGTTTCCACTTTCCAGTCAATTTGAAGTTTTTCACCCATCTGAAGATTTTGTTACGGCTTGGAACAGCTCAATGTCAACCGACATCAAACCGTATACGAAACAATCGCTGTGTAGCTATAATAGACTCGCCACTTCTCACGAAACTGTCATATTGATAACTGATTGAATAATCATTGTGTTTTTAGATTTTTCTGCTGCTTTCCTCATATCTGAAGATACAAAAATCTTAAATAGATGGACTATAGTTCTCAACTCAGGTGAAAATGAACTATATTCAAGAAAGAAGTTTCCATTTGTTCTTTACCAGTTGTCAGAAAACACGTTATTGTTTGTCTGTGAACAACTTCCACATCTTTATTTTGCAAATCACATGTTAGATAAGGTAAGTAATATCCAACTTGATAAGCGTCTAGGCAGCCAGTGCAACTCCGAGGATCATGGATCAGATTGGAAACCCCCCACCATTGCTCCGTGCCGATGGCGTGACGTCAACCATTACCGCAATGATACGGAGCCAAGTCATGAGCCTTGGTGGTGTAGTGGATAGCGTGTCGGGCTGATAATCAAAAGGTGCCGGGTTCGAATCCCGCTGGTAGCACTAACTTTTTGTCAACAATTGTTTTCATATCAGCAAGTTTGGTTGGTTTGGTTAGGTTATGACAGTTTAATTTTATAATTAAAAGATTATAAAATTTAATTTGAGACATTTATATTTTTATTTTTAGAACAGAACTATTTTTTTATCAGTAGGGCTAAACCTTCATTCGAGTTTTTCACTATCAGCAAGTTTGGTTAGGTTATGACAGTTTAATTATTTTTAATTTAAATTTAACCTAGAAACGATACGTTTTGACAGCGACAGTGATAGAGATAACAATTTTCTGCGAACAGTTAGGCTATGCTGATGCACCTGTATGATTTGGAAGCGTACGACATGGTGCGGTGGTGGGGGGGGGGTGTTCTGATCTACAATCCACGGAGTTGTACTGGCTGCCTAGACGCTTGTTTCAACTTGGGCATGCAAAATACACATAAGTTTATGTCTCATCCATTTTTTTTAATGTCTTTTCTAAAATCCTTTGATCGGGGAGCGAGCTGATCTAGTGGTAGACCCGGGTCTTCGGTCCCCGAGGTCCCTTGTTCAAATCACCCTCTTGGCCTTATCTGAAGTAATGTGTGATCTACATTGGAAGCGGAATTTGACGGTCTTGGCAGGTCTGACCGAGTCTGTTGGAAACAAACACATGTAGCGCAGTCTCACCTCCTAAACTGGCACGGATTGTTGTGCCGGGAGAAGGAAAGGGTCAGAGCTTGTGGGAAACGAATCAAAATAGTTTGTTTTTTCATACGGTCAGACCAGACCCACTTGTTCGAAACTGTGACCGAGGTTGGTGCATAATTGAGGTTATTCATTTTGTCTGTATGTTTTTGAGATTGTGGTAAAATGGTTGACAAAGGAAAGTTGATTGAATTAGTGTGTGAGAAAGTCGCCATTACATAAGAAAGTATTAAAGTATTAAGTGGCTTTGTGGAACCACAATCTAAATTGTCCAATAACATTAAATCAAAAAGTTCCTCATCCATTTTTCAAGCCCAAAAGAATAACAAAAAACTAAACAACAAAAACTACGGTAAAGTTGCTTAACTAAAAGCACAAAATTATAAACAAACATAATTAACAATCAAGTTCAATAACAACAAGTTAAAGTTTAATAACTTAAACAACAGCAAAAATGCTTGGCTATCAACTCTGCTCGCTGTGTGCAATGTGACTGTGACTGTGGAGTGTCTGTGAGACTGACTGTCTGCAGTGTGGGAGCATCCACCCGGAGTCCGGTCTGTCAAGAGTCGGGTTGAGTAAACAGAAAAATCTGCTTCCAAAGTAGGTCACGCCTAATGTGGAAAGAAAATCTGTGCTAGAACCTAGAACCAAATACTAATTTGATCTCTTAACAGTCCTACATGGTGTTACGTTTTGCTCAGTTGTGATTTTCAGCTTCGTTGACTATTTTTATGAAACCAAAAGAAATAGTGGAACGTATCTAAACTTGAGAACTATGTGTGAATTAAGAATGACACATTCACAGGGAGAAATCTGACTTATATTTTCCCCATTCGGGAGTTCTTCCTCTGATGGATTAGAATGGTTTAGAATGGATTGGCATTGTCAATTATTAGTATACTACAACGTACAAGTCAAGAGTCTATGGCTCACTAACAGGAAACAGAGTGAAGAACGGCCGACCAGTACATACGTCAGACATGAAAGGTGCAATGACCTCTATCTTTGATAAAAAAAGTCAACAAGCGTTTGGTCAGAGGCCGGACCACTCTAGGTTGGTTTTACGCAGTTGTACTGTATAAAATGTAACAAATATTTTTCCTACAGTTATTTGACAAAGCGGGCCTCCTTAAACTGATTAGTGATTATAGTACGCCAAGTTGCTAGTTGATGCATTTACTTAGGCCTACTTTTTCTACACTCAGTATTCCAACCAATCAACACAAAATAGTTTACTTTACTTTTATTAGGCTCGTAATACGTGTACGCTTGGCAGCACTTAAAGATACTACAACTACGATCAGTTGATGCAGTACTCCTCATTTCGTGCAACGCTTGGTTTTAACTTTAACCTAATCTAAAAACGTGTTGTGCAGTGTTTGGAAGACTAATTATTTATATGCTTTAACTGTAGGAAAAATATAACGTGTAACACGAGCGCAAATTGCCTTTGCTACACATCACTAGTTACACAAATAACTATTTAAGTTAACTTCATACAATTTTAAGAGTTATTTAACTTTTTAGTTAAATGTGTTTTATGTTGCAGATCAAACCTTATATAGAGAAAGCTGGTCATACAATTGTTCTTACATCAGAAAACATGTCAAGTTACAAACCTAGAAGTGACTTATCATCTTTTATCAGATCTCTCTCAACAAAGGATTGTTCATTGAAATCCCAAGCTCAATCACTAGAACTACCAAACACTATGTCTGGGTTCCCAGCTGCAGGTATTGAATAGTAGCCTACATAGGTATAAGTAAATGTACAACCTATATTGTTAATTTTTATTGACTTTCTCTGCTTCTATTTAATCAATTTGTTATTACATTAATTGAAAAGCTCTGCCAAACGGTGTTGCAAGTATAAGACCTGGGTATGAATCATCCATAAAAAACATTTAAAAAAGTCATAGAAACACGTAAAATACTAGAAAAAGACATTGACTTTTTCTGTTTGTCACATTCCTTTTAGATAAATAACCAAACTAGATCTGCACAGACGTTCTGTTTCATGTGATAAGGATGGAAACAGGGGTCTCTTCAATTAAAGAAAAGGTCACTTAAACCAACCTGGTTTATTTATTTCCAGGCAGAGGCAGTTTATTGAAGTGACGGTCGAAAGATGGTATAGTAGAATTACCAAAAACTCCCCCAATTCCAATACCTATAAAATCCAAATTCCTAATATATTTTCTCGGACATTCATTTTCAATAGTCTACTATGATCATTAATGGTCAGAAAAGATGCTCTTATTTACTCTCAGCTACGACCTTTCAGTTTTCTACAATAATCAGCTACTGACCTCAGCAGACTCAATTTTTAATAATATTGAGGTACATCGTTCCACTAATATTGTTGTTTTGTTCCAGTACTGTCTTGGTGTCAAGCGAAGAACAAAAGTGCCGTTGTCTACGTTCTCTACACAGAATCCTCGAGTCTTGACTCAATCTGTGCTCAGCCTGTCTTACAGATGCTCAAATCATCCCCTTTTGTGAAAGTGCCTCCATCATCTAATGAAAAACTCAAACAATTTATACATAGATCACAATTGCAATATTCCAATCTTTACCTGTAAATTCAATAAAGCATTACTATAAGATATCTATATATTTAATTCCATAAGCGAATCGGTCCCCACAAAATATCTCAGGCTAGAAAAAAGGTAGCATATCTGTTGAGGATTCATTTTAAAGCTGAAGGTCCACGGTGGAAAAAATATTAAATCCCTTCTTCATCCTGCACTTTGTTTCAATCATCTTACTTGTTTATTATAAAAAAAATATCCTAAAATTACTAAAGAAATGTGTTTTTGTGAGTGTCACTGATATTATATTGTTTATTTCCTTCCACCATGCTTCAAGACTTCCAGAAGACTCACCTGGTTGGGAATTTGGGACTGTAATATCGCCAGTGTTAACAGACAACACTCTAATAAATCCCTTCTTCATCCTGCACTTTGTTTCAATCATCTTACTTGTTTATTATAAAAAAAAATATCCTAAAATTACTAAAGAAATGTGTTTTTGTGAGTGTCACTGATATTATATTGTTTAAAGTTTCACTTGAATTTTATCGACCAGTTTACCCACTCTTATAAAAAATTATGATAAAAATAACACAAATACCAATTACAGTATCTGCAACGGTACTAGAGAACAGTGTGTAACATGCCACTGCTTAAGTTCAAAACCGAAAAGTAGTTAATTTGTATATCCTCTAAATCAGTGTAGTGGGGTCTTGTCTAAATAGACAAAAAATTCCACGTAAGACAATATCATCTTCCACAATGACGGCAACGTCGATCATCTCCCTTCCGCGTAAATTATGCTACAGCCACAGCGGCGTGAAAATAGAACCAACCATCAGTTGTGACGGATTTTATTATTCTATAAACTATACAGCCCGATGTGTCGTTATTATATAATTGTAATATCCCATTCCATACCAAGTTAAAAGTGCACTCATACAAACTTTTCTCCAGCCATCAAAACTCTTGACTGACTGCACACTCTGGGCTGGTGTTGTTAGTTGAATTTTTGGGTGTATCTATATCTTTGGAATGTCAACCGGTTTTTTGTAAGGAGACTGTCCAAACCCCGGCCGCCATTAATGAACTGATACCGCCATGTAATCTAATGGGACGTCTGGCACTAAACAACACTACTAACTTGTGATGTTGCCAATTCTACAAGGTCGTGGCCTGGAGTTAAAGTTAGCCGTGGTCCAACCCCTGGGGCCCATTTCATAATAAACTACAAGTTACAACTTGTAACTTGTAATTTCCATTAGATTTGCATTGGGCGATCAGCTGATTTACTAATAATATTAGTTTGTACTTTATTATGAAATGGGCCCTGGTCTTATTATTATCTAGCGTCACCTTTTTGTTACAAACTAATGATAGCCCCAAGACAAAATTTTGTAATGACGTATGCGTATGGAAACTAGTTTTCAATCGAACCAGCTACCTTCATCCTTCCTTGAAGGCGAACACTACAACCACTCGGCTAGCCAAAAAATTAGACAAATATGGAAAGTATATTGAGATACAGACTTGTGTAGGTTTAATCAATGCCTAAATGGTCTTGACTCTCAAATGTTTGAGTTTCATGGTTGCGTCTGCTGCGATTGCCATATTGCATTGCAGCTGCACAGTCAGCTGTCAACGTCAACCAGTCATTGTTTACATCAATTTATTATGCGTGATGCTTCAATTCAATGCAATCGCAATGGTAGGCATGCATGAACTTCTGTACAATGAATTGCCTACAAAATTACAACAATATTGCGTTTAAAGTGTGATTGTTTGATCGTGAAGTAATATATTTCATTTTGTGTGCAATTTAAAGATTGTAGGGTGCAAAATAGTTGGTTAATTAACATGTTTTCTTAGACCACTGAGAGTCAACATTGATTCTAACCTTTTTGGCAAGTCATGTAAGTACTGTTTGTATGTCTATTAGTTTAGTCTAAAGTTTTCTCAGTCTTAGGCTAAGCCTGAACAAAAATATGTATTATCCAAGCCACCCGATGCTTGTAGAAATATCCCCTGTATGTTTAATGATTTAAAGCCACGTTTGCATGGATTTTTTTTTCAAAATGACAATTCATAAGTTATTGCGTTTCAACACAGGCCTAGCCCTAAGTTATTTGAACAAATCCTCTTGGGTACACTTTCAAATCTGTTGGCAGAAACAACCGAATGAAAATATCGATCGATATACCCTATTGATTATTCTATATAACGTTTAGTTAGTTAGGTAAGGTTAACCTAACCTAACCAAACGATATATCGAATTAAACAATTGAATAATCAATATTACTCATTCGGTTATTTGTGCCAACGGCAAATATTTACCGTATTTACACTGGGATATGATGTAATTTGTATATGTCTACTTACAGTATTTTTAACGCTGAATCCAAAAATGCAATCAGTTTTGGTCGGAGAGATTCCTAAGTGGCGGTAGCTGCCGTAAAACGAAGGTTAGGATTACGAATCTAACAAGGATAATTGAGCGGTACTGAAGGTAATGGTAATATGGCGTGGTCTGGACGGGTCCGTACTGAGTGAAGAGTGAGGACTGAGGACTGAGTGAGAAGAGCAAACAACTGTTTATACTTGATCTAATGCGGAATGAAATCAAATCAATTCGTTTTGAAACCAAATGATCAGTTCTTATTTAGGCATGTGAGGAAGGTAGGTCGGGTTTTATGCGGATTCGTGACTGTATTAAGTGTTTTGAAGTGAGGTTAGATTAGGAAGGTAAAGGTTAGGTTATAATGAACCGACTCATTAATTTATGCAACTTCCAGACTGTTTTTGCACAATTAAATAGTGGGTGAAACACAATGAAATAACGATATCAAAAATGCGCAAGCATTTTTGATATTGTTATTTCATTGTGTTTCACCCACTATTTCAATTGTGCAAAAACAGTCTGGAAGTTGCATAAATTAACGAGTCGGTTCATTATAACCTAACCTTTAACTTACCTAATCTAACCTCACTTCAAAGGACTTAATATAGTCACGAATCCGCATAAAGTCCGACCTATCTTCCTCACATGCCTTTTCTGACATAAACTGCGATTTAAACATTAATATTAAGGTTGGGTTAGGTTAGATTAGATTAGATTGTGTAACATCATTTATTAGTTGCTGAAACATTAAATTATGCACTGTGGCACGTTTTCACTTTTAGACACAATGGGATTATGTACTATGGGATTATGCACTATGGCACGTTCATTACCAGACGTTGAGGCCATAGTCAATGGTTGAGGATTGGAATGAGGACGATGATCATGTCGGCAGTGGCCTAGCTTCTATTACTGATATTTTACATGAATAAATTCTATTTTGTTTTATAATTTATGTTCATGTGATTAATATTTTATGTATGGTAGTTGATTTATTGTATTTTATAAACATCACCAAAGTCCATTTTCTTTTTAAAATCTAGTTAATGCATATTGTAACTCTGATTTTGCTGTCATGGCGTCATGTGTGGTTTTGTCTGTTTAGTATAGAATGTAAACAACTGACAGCTGTTTCCACTCCACAAACCTTCCACCCCTTTTAGTGTTAGTCTCCACTAGAACTTGGACTCGTCCATACCACAAATATGGTAATATATCAACAAAACCGAAGCTTAATATTAATTATATAACTGTGCGGCCACTTAGGAATCCCTCCGACCAAAACTGATTGCATTTTTGGATTCAGCGTTAAAAATACTGTAAGTATTCATATCAAAATTACATCAAATCCCAGTGTAAATAGGGTAAATAATTACCGTGCCAACAGATATGGAAGTGTACCCTTCCCTACCCATCCTCTTAGAAAATGTAGATCCCTCTCAAAGAATACCTCAATGTTTTTTCCTAGTATCTGCCTAGGCTTAGTTTTGAAAATATGAATATAGGCCTAGGCCTAACTAGCCTACTTACATAGAATAGGCTACATATTGTACTTTTACGTTCTAAGTTATCTAATGTGGCTGAGTAAGTTTTAGCATTTGCCAAGGAAATAAAGCAGTTGCCTTATCTTATCTCCACACAGTAACTTATACCTACTCCGAACTAACCAAAGTGGTTGGGACCGAGACTATACCTCGGTTAACAAGAATCTCGGATAAAACATAGGACAGAATTTTAAGTTAAAGCCTAACCGGTACTTAGATTTACATCACCACATTGCTTGGAAGTCAACAAATATAAAACGATTGAATGGGCAAATTAAAAAATGCTACCTATCATTAATACTGTGCGAAACCAACAATCTACTTATGTACAGTATTAACAAACTTACACTCAAACTAAAAATAGCCTACTTGACACAATCATGTCAGGACATCAAAGACAAAAACTGACAAAAGGCGATGTGAGCCGGTATATGTCTTAATGCCTAAGGTGAAATGCACTGCTATTGTTTACAATTTACAGACCGAGTCATGCCAACGGTTAGCGGCCCATCTAGAACTGAGTGGAGTTAACTTATTCGTTAAAATAATTAACTTATTCGTTAGTAATGTGTGTAGGCTAACAATTATTTCAAGTGTGATTAAATAACCAATTACAAACTAATTGCTATTTTATTCACATAATTATTGTTTTCTGTCTGAAAATAAAAATATATATTGACGCCTAAAAACACCTTGAATATAAGGCTCAAATAACCGGGGCTCAGGTGATTGATAAGTTTATGGTAGGCCTACTGTAAAGATTAGACAATAAAAATATCTATTTTAACCTAATATTTATAAAGATCATGAAATTAAGATAAATCAAAAAGGGTGAAAATGATTAATAATAAAATAATTAGCGGCGCTGCGTAGCGGTCACACAAGCGGCACTCGTAAGTCAGCACCAAAGGGTTAAGGCAAACAGATTGTGGCCCAGAATCTTGGATCAAAGAAAACCATTTTATTCATTACGTATCATTTATATATTAAATCTTAAAGATATTTAAGTTATTGTTTTCCACTACAGTAATCAATTAGGCTCCTACTATTCATTTAGAAAGAAACGGTTTAATTATTAGTAGGCCTATACATAACGAATATTCAACAAAAAATTCAGGTTTCTTCAAAAGGGAAG